CGACAGAATATTTTGTTGATCAAGAAAAATGTTCCTATTTAATTCTATTACACACAACTGCAGCTTTGTGCATAGGGACAACAGCAATGGTAGCGACAGGAACGATGCTGATAACGTACCTCAAACATATTTGTGGAATGCTTAGCATCGCCAGGTAAAAGAGAATTTGAGCGTTCGTTTCATAAGTTATTATATCTAGTCTGTTTACTCGATCAAAGATTAAAGAATTACAGAAAAAAATTATTCATAGTTATCGCATTGAGAAGGCAATGGCGATTAATATGCAACAAAATATCAACCAAGAGAAAATTATTATAATTTATAAAGGGATAATTTGTGCGGTAGACATTCATCGCAAAGCTACAAAGTTAGTATATATCCGGTAATGTCTATATAATATGTTACTAACATTTATTTATCCCTGAAGGTTTTCCCAAGTTTTAATAAAGAGTTTTGAAGGATCGTTCTTCTTTTTAATAGCGGCTGGTATGGTCTGTTTAAGCAGCACTCTTGTTCAAGTAAGATTTATTTTTTTGTTATTAAATAATATATCTCCCTATAAAAGATATCTTTTTCATTATATTGAGATTAATTAAAAAATCTTTAGCTAAAATGATATATGGAAAAATAATTTATTCGCAATTTAAAACCAAGAATCAAGAAATCAAGAGAATTGTTATCCTTTACAAACATATGATTTATATACGTATTTTACAAGATTTCAAAGTTTTCTGATGTAAAATATACAATTAAAAAAATGGACTATTACGTAATGCATACTCTATAACCTGTTGTAAAGAATTATAGAAAATTTATTAAGGTTTTTATATGTAAGAAATTAAAATACACAGGTAATTTTATATATTTTTTTATACTTTAGTCTTATATTTTTCAGATCGCATTGTACAACGATACCGTAGAGCAATTTATACTACCGCTTATGTTTATAAGTGTCCTCTACGTATACATGTTTTTATCTAACTATACTGCACAGGAAGTTACAGATCACAATGAATACGTATTTGCCACAGTGTAAGAAACATTTGCATCGTACGTTTATACTCAAGTAATCAATTTGCACAATTTTTTAACAAAAGTTGAAAGTTATATTAAAATTTATGAAAGTATTATATTTAAAACTAATACGATTTCTGAAACGAATATGCATACTATAACAATTATCGACAAATATTTTTATTTTTTTATGATTCTGAATATCAGTTCGTTATTGTTTTGTAGGTATAATGTTCAGTGGTACATGGCTCCGTTACCCATACAGAAAATGATGTTATTCTTGCTACAAAAGGGCACTAAGGCTTTTCATATAATCCTCGGTGGAATATTTATTGCATCCATGGAAAGTGCCGCTATGGTAAATATATAACCGTATATACTACAATTCATAATAGAGTTTTTTATTATTCCCACAAATATATTGTTTAAACAAATATTTATTTTGAGATTTTCACAACTTTAGAATCACATGCTTTGATGAATAGAGAAAAAGCAGCTCTATTAACAAAATTATATTAAGAATAAAATATAAACTAGCAGCGCGCTCAGCAAATTGAAAAAAAAATAAAATAAAGAGTAAAGAAACTTTTTAACTTTAACTTCAAACATATTGTCCCTCCATTAATTTAGAGTATTTAAATAACAGCCAGTTCACCAAACCTTTAATATAGCTTCTTACAGAATAAAATAAAAA